AAGAACCAAAGGATCATGGTAGATCAAAGCATATTGATAGAAAGTACCATTATATTTGACATCGGGTGGAAGAAGGACACACTTTGGTGAAGAGAGTATCATGAGAATATAATGTTGCAGATCCTTTTACAAAGGCTCTGAGCAGAGTCAAATACTACCATCATGCTAGGAACATAGACTTAAGAGACGATATTAGTTTTAGTAGTTAGGTGATATTTTTGAAACTTGTAACAAAATAAGTGTAATTGATTTGGTGAATGAATAATAGAAAATTATTTATCAGTATCGTACTGCCTTATTCAATTATTTTTTCTTGTGTTTCTTTTTTGCATGTTTATACTTCCTAAGTAATTTGAATTATTCAAACTTCCACAGCCGTTCATACTTTTAGAAGTAAGTAGTGAATTAATACTGTCATGAATTGATTGTAGATTGTCGATTGAAGTTAAGACATTTCAATTGGAATTGCTACAATATTCATGAGTACTTTGAAAATAGAGATTTTAAGTATTGGATAAACCCTCACTTAGATATTACTTCATGGATCTTGTTACGAGTAATTCTAAGACGATAATATCTTCTATTCTTCAAACGGAAATACATAAGTTGTAATTTATGAACCGGTTGTGTATTGGTGTTACTTAAACGCATTAGTAACTTGATGTTATAAAACATAGTATCATATATGATTTGGTGAATAAATGTTACATTTATGTAATCAAAGTTTATTCGTTCCTTTTGCCCTAACATGAAAATCGATATCATTGGGCCCCTCGATAATTTGATGTTGACACTATAAGTGTTGGGTCCAGCCAGGACTAAATGATCTGTTCAATTGAAGTCCAATAAAGTCTTTACAAATTGGGAAATCGAGAAACAAAATCTTGGACACTAACATTGATTATGATCCATGTCTCGTGTTCATACAATATCTTGAAGAGAGAAGGAATAGATGATCACTTATCTTAGGGCCGACGGCTGATTTGAATCAGAGTTTGGCATTGGCTTAGGAAAGCACACTTTGCTGTTTACTTCCAGGTCTATATTTATAATTGTAGTTACAGACTTATCCAAGTGGGAGACTGTTTTATTAGGGTGTCTAACCAATAACTAAATTGGTATATTCTTGAATTAGAAACAAAGTTCTTTTTGGGTTGCCCTCAGAACTAGCAACTGTGAATGATTGCATTTAGAGAGAGGAAAATTTGTTAGTTTATTATGTGGATAATAAATTAATTGGAAATTGAAATAAATGATTTATTAATATATTATATGATTAATATATTAATTAGAAATTGTAATTATTAATTTAGAATTAATAAAAAATTAACTAGAATTAATTTTGGGATTAATTAGAATTAATTAAGGTGCACAAACTTTAGCTGAAAATGTTTAAAAGTTGAACAAATGAAGGGTTCCAAAACCTTCCCTTGTAGATGGTTTTGGAATGCCCTCATGGGCATTCTGGAATCCTCCCTGATATAAGGAAACCATATAACTACCTGGATTAAGTATATTATTATTTTATTTCAGATTAGGGTTTCCAGGGTTATCCTATCAGCTATAAATAGGACACCTTGGGTTCATAATTTTCATCCAACTTACCTACAATCAGAAGGGCCGAATTTCTGCTCCACTCTCCTCTGTCCTCTTGTGTTCTTGTAGTCAGGGTTTAAGTACAAACCAGTAGAGACATCATCTCTTTGGTGATAGGCTTTCGAAGTTCATCAACTACAAGGATTGGTGTGATTTGTTTGCAGTAACAAATCAAAAGGTATGTAACCCTAAACTTAGTAGTTTTCGAAATTCATTAGGGTTATGCTAGGCTTTGTTGTTCATTGTATGTTGCTTTCAAGGTGTATGACATAGACCAATTATAAGATGCATGTACCCTATTAATTGTTAATTGTTTTCCGCATTGTACATGTTTTGTTTTCTATAAAACCCATAATTATCGCTACTGCAACTCCACACTGCCAGTTTAACATCCTCTATAGAAAATGGGCGAACAAGGAACTCATTTTGGTCATCAGGTATCCTTTTAAATTTGTTGTTGTGTAGCTTTGGCCTGTTATGAATTGGTTCGTCGAACTTGTACTTGAAGAATTCAAACAATTGGTTTTTTATCGTGCTCGGGTTAGTAATCCACATGCCATTTATTTTATACACGAGACCCCTTGAGGTTAGCATTAATAATACCATGAAAGAAAGCATAGTTATGATCTCCCTCAATCAACCACTTACACCTTGATTTCTGTTTGAGATCGAGAATTCGAAAAGGTTCCATATCTTTAATTTTAACAATATTGTCTTCATGCTCTTTTAAAGTGTTACCGTCAATAAACCCAGCTTCAATGAGTGTGTCGATAGCCGCAACCTTTTTTGTGAGGTAGTCAACATCAACTTGGTTTTTCTCTTTTTTCTCGGACTTCCACATGCTCAACTTAGCCTTCACTAATCTCAACTTTCTAGAGTCTCTCAATCTTGGAAAAAACATTAAGACCTTGAGAGTTTTTAGACCATACAACAACCACAATATACTTTAAGTTCGGGTCCAATAACCAAGAATTAAAGAATCTAAATGGGGAGGGGCCATAGTATTGACAGTTGGTATCAAGGAGCAAAGGGTAGTGATCAGAATGTGTTGATGATTTTAGTGTCACCATGTCATTTTATGTAACCGCACCATGTCATTTTTTGTAACTGGAACTAACATGTGAGCTAAGGGGCTTCATAATTTCTACTCTAATATATGTACAGGTTGGTGCGGAGTTCACACATGTATAAGATTGAATTAGAGCCGGTTCGACGACAAGTCGGGGGTCCTGGGGCAGCGCCCCTGGGTCTGGGGTTTCCAAAGGGGCGGCACCCCTTTGGCGGGGTCTAGGGGCAGCGCCCCTAGCGGGGTCCAAGGGGCAGAGCCCCTGGCTGGGGTCTCGTTTGACTTGCTTCCAAAGCAACTTAGTGGAAAATTCAGATTCTTGAGGGTGATTATGGTAAAACTAACGAAACTCGTTAGTTTTGGTAACTCTAAATCTCCATTAATCCGGATTACCCTGACTTGCTTCCAAAGCAACTAATGACGGCCCAACCCTAATGAAACCCTATTTCCGTTTATTATATAAACGACTCTTCTTGTTGTGAAGTGATATCCTGAAAATCAACTCTCGTTTTCTTAAAACTTTCACAGAATCTTTCTAGCCAATTGGCTTACGATTTCTGTGCCTAGAATCGTAAGTGTCCATTTGGATTATCCTAGGCTGAATTTCTTGCAACCCATGCATATGGTAGAAATATCAGTTCGGAAAGTGTTCTCATGATTAGAGGTGTTCGTTTGGAAGGATCGGTTTAATCCGATCCGATCAAGTGAATCCAAATTAATTTCGGTTTTCAAAACGTAGATCCAAATAGTTCAAACTAAATTCAAATCCGATCCGATCAAACCAAATTATAATTCGGTTAGATCGGTTTTTTACAATTCGGTTTTCAAGAATCAAGACATTTCAACAAATATATAACTTTAGTATTAACTTACTCTATAATATAAACTAAAAAATATTGTTTAATTAGTTGTGAATTAAAACTTATAAATAACCATCAAGAAAAATATATTATACTTTATTACTTTATAGACAATTTTCTTTTAATAGAAGTACATATTAAAGTATTATAATAGATGAAAAATTTTAATATAATATAAAAGAATAATTTAGTAAATTTATAAATTATTAAAGATATATATTAAAAAGAACAAAATAATAAAATGCAATTCAATTTTTTTGGACTATTCGGTTTTTATTTTATAAACCAAAACCAATCTGAAATCCAAAATAATAATTCGGTTTTGTTAAAAACCAATCCAAAAATCCGAATATTCGAGCCAAATAGTCCGATCCAAATTGTCCAATTGGACAATTCGGTTTTATCCAAATAGTGAACAGTCCTACTCACGATCTAAGTTGGTATCTAGATATCCACCACAAACCCTATTATTTCCTAAGAGAATGAAGCTTGGGTAAGGCGATCACGCTTGAGTTAGGCCACTTAGCATCAAAGGTGTTGGAGATTAGGAACCCGTCCAATTTACTTAGTTTGGACACATCCTTGGTCATCTACGTAAATCTTCTACCGCCAATGTTGATATCCAATAGACCCGTATGAAATTATTGAACAGCGTTGCACCTCTATGGTTGAAAACAGACCCTAGTCTCTCGTCAGAGGTTCTAACCTCGTTGAAGTCTCCACAACAAAGCCAAGATCTTTCACTATCATCCTCAATTACATTAGTTATCTCCTTCCACAAACCAACCTTGTTTTGGTGATGTTGAGGGCATAAACATTTATCAGACCACATTTGGCATCACGAGGCTTCCAAATGTCAGCCACAACAATGTAGTTTCTCTGAGTGTTGACAAAATCCACATCCAGTAATCTGGGGTCGCAAACGGACACGAGACCACCAGAGCTACAAGAACGGTTACCCCACACACTACGAATAAGACCATCTTTGATCACCTCCATTCTAGATTTTGAATACACAGAAACGTTACCCTGTTTCGAGAATACCGGCCATATCTTTTATCTCGGACCTTTAGTTTGTAGACCATACAATGAAACTGATGAAAACGAAAACAAAATTAAATTAGCTTTAAAGGTGATAATCGATCATATATAATAGAACATGCGAAAAACATACCTCAGTGTTAGATTGACAAAGCACCGATCGTTAGTTTAAGGGTTGATGAAGCGATCACTATTGTTTTCGAACATTAGGGTTTTTACTGTTGAGGGTGAAAAACAGTGAAAATATATAAGGTGGCTAGCCACTTTGGCAACTTCACCCGTGGATCATACCCACAAGCCCAAGTATATATTCAAATTCTCCTTTTCTCCAAAACGGATATATATACATTTACGACTTTATATTTTTACTATAAAAACAAATACTCAAAAAGAAATCATAAAAGAACATGAAAAATAGATATGTAAAAAAAAAAATCCTATATATCGACATGGCTCTTGCAATCTTGATCGGCGATACCCCAGCTCGTTACGTTAATGGCGATGGAACAGTTCATAGTAACCGTCACTTTTCTCTTAATAATGTTTAATATATTAACTCTACCATTAACCCTTGTATAACTTCGCACCATCAGCTTACCCGCCGTGAAATCACTTCCGAACTGTGGGTCTCCGGCCATCTTCGCCATCATCATCTCATACACCACCTTCAGTCTCATCGTCTTTCTAGCGTCAACCACCCCTCCGGGAACATCTGCCACTCCCACCACCGTCTCACGATAGACAAGACTTGAATTAAAAGTTTCAAACTTGAATTTCTCCACGTTAGTGTTCTTCATGGAGACGTCAGCCACCACAGTCAGATTAGCGTTCCGGTTGAGTAAATCTGTTGAGTTGACCTGGTCAAGTCCGATGATCGCCACTGAATTCATTCTGAGTTTTGGGTTTTTGATGTGGAGAACTGTGAAGCCGAGGACTATCATCACCACCGCGATGATGAGTACCACGGCGGCAATGATACCGCAGCAAACGGTGCATTTCAAGAAACCCTGTTGTTGTTTCTCCAATTCCGTCGATAAGGCTTCATCTACGCTGATGGAAAGAGGATGGATCTGGGGTTTCTCCGGCACAAATTTTTGATAACGTACGGACATGGTTGATCCAGGTGACAGGAAGGTGGTGCTGGGTGGAGTTCGGGGTGATGGAACCTGGAAGCTTATTTGTATTGTCCAGTCGGCCAGTCATGCGTCGACTTTGACCGTTGACGTGGAATTTGGGTCACATTCCAGAAAGAAGAATTTAGCAAGCAAGTTTAAGGTAGAGGACAAGATAATTGTTTTTTTTCAAATAAAATAAAGATAATAAAAAAAAATGACTTTGTAAATGACTACTTTTTATAAAGTAACATATTTTAAACTAACATATTTTAACATATATAATTGGGCGTGTTCCAGAAAGAAGAATTTTAACTTAACACATATGTAAACGACTATTTTTCACATTCCAGAAAGAAGAACTTATCTCAAGTAGTATTTTAAAAAAATTTAGCCTTTAATTTTATATAAACTAACATATTTTAAAAATTTATAACTATTTTTAACATATATAATTGGGCGTGTTCGTCAAAAATAGATGGTATCGGGTAGCTGATGGCTCGTAGCGTTTTGTTAAGCGCTACGTGAGGTTGTTTTTGGATTTGGAGCGTTTTATTTAAACTAAACGCAAAAAGCTTGTACTGTCAAACAAAACTCTTTGTTCAAAACGGAGCGTTTTGTTAAACACTAGAAGCTAAAAGCTCCCAAACGTTCAGAACGCTTCTTGCCAAACACAAACAATAAAAGTTATAGTTTTCATTAGTAGTTTTGATAAACATATCAATAATAATAACTAGAAAGGTTACCCCCGCTACGCGGGGGCTAGAAGCTTTTAATGTTGTTTCCGAATTGATAAATATGACAGACATAGAAAGTGCAAGGATGAAAAGTCCGGGCTTTGCCCCGGACAAAAAATGTAAAAGTTTTGACTGCAAGGACCAGAAGTGTGAAAATGGCTAAAGAATTAAAGGGGTAGGAATTAGCAACTTTTTAGAAAAGGGATCAAGTTGTCAAACCGTTAAAGTTTTGTGGCCAAACTTTAAATATTAAAAGGTTCCAAAAAAGTGTAAAAATATTGATTGCAAGGACCAAAAGTGTCAAAATGGGTAAAGAATAATGATCAAAGTTTCCAAAAAACATCCAAATTTAGTATTCCTAACTTCCAACAATAATACAGGGACCAATTCTGTCAAAAAAATGGGAAGTTGAATGTAACACAAACAAAAGGATATGAATAAATTAATTAAAGAAGTATAGGGACCGGATATGTAAATCAAGGGACCAAACCTGGACAAAGTATGTCAACTTCACTATTCCTGTCTTCCACAACTTTAATATATATATATATATATATATATATATATATATAATAATATGTATTTTTGTTCTCGTATATATATATATATATATATATATATATATATATATAATATATATATATATATATATAAACATATCAATAATATGTATTTTTGTTCTCATATATATATATATATATATATATATATATATATATATATATATATATATCTATATATATATATATTAAAACTTTTTAATAATTACATCTACCTTTTTAAATCTAAAATGTTTAGTTTCATTATTTTTTTAACCATAGTACCATTTATAACTTCGTATTATAATACTTCGTTTTTAACTAAGTATATATAATTTTTTTCGGTGATGGTTTGCTGGTACAAGAAGGAAGTTCTGTAAAAAGCAACAGGAAGAATTGCTCAGATACCAGTGAGTGAGGCCTATTTGGGTCAGTATATCATTTTCTTCAAATTTCCAATTTGTGTTCGAATTGCATATATTTTTCTTGAAATTCCAGATTAGTTTCTTTTGTGTAAAATCTGAAATCTTTCTGAAATATGAATATAAAATGTATTTCTTTCATAAAAAAAATATACGACTTAATTATAACATAAAAAAATTCATAAAAGGTACAAAATAAACCCTACGACTGTCCGACCATTTTGGAGGATTTTCTTTCGACGGGTTCAAACTTTGTTCATCATCGTTTTTTATATTGCTTCTCCTTGTCCTACCTTTCTAGTATGTATCATAATGAGATTCGATGCTCATTAAGAAGGTTGGCAATGGAAACTTGGGAAGAAAAACGTGACTGTATCAAGGGCTTTTAACTCTAACTTTATAAAATGTAAAGGACATGTATATCAGAGTGTGTGTGATGAATTTTCCCGAAAAGATGGAATTGAAGGACGTATGACAACTTTTGTGATTGTCGTGGTCTTGTAGCAAACATTTATATAGCTCGATCGGAAACTGTCCAAGATTGGATGTCGCTTTCCTTTTGTCAAATTCTTGAAGATTAATGATCCTAAAATGTTGGTGGAAGATTTAATTAGAATTTGGATTGGAAATTATCATGTGTTTGCTTCCTTTACAAGGTTTGAAAGAAGAGGAAAAGTGATGGATAACAACAGGAAGACAAGTTGTGACATTAAACTGGATAGTAATAATAAGAATAAAAAAAATTGTTGTATAGCTTTTATCGGACAATCCTTAAAAGCTTGGAAGGGTAGGATTGCTTGGAAGGATAGAAACATGATTTCTCTTTCATGGGAAGAATAACTTTCTCTCTTCTTGGAATGATAGCTTTATGGAAGGGTAGAAAAATTTTCTCACTCATGGGAAGCTTTTATTATTAGGCTGCGTTTGGCGCGCTAGCTAAAAAGCTAGCTGGTAGCTGAAAAACTAGCTGATAGTTGAAAAACTAGATGGTTAAAAAGCTAACTGCTAGCTGATAAGCTAGTCGATAAAAAAGTGTGTTTGGTAAAAACTAGGTGATAAACTAGCTGAAAGATATATAAAATTATATAAAAGGACATTTTCCAAAATAAGTTTTCTATAATTAATTAAGGGCATATTTGGGAAGTTTGTAAAAAAGCTCCTAAAAAGCTACTCCAAGTAGCTTTTTAAAAGCTAGCTTATAAGCTAACTGTTTGACTTACCAAACACGACAACCCACAAAACCTCGAAAAATAATCTAGTTTTTCAGCTAGCTGTGGTGCGTCAAACGCGGCCTTAAATAATTGTAGGGTATAATTGTTTAAAGCTTCCCTGGGTACAAGTGTTTAAGCTCTTCTTACTTGTTTGTCAGGAAAGGCAAGTGGGACATGACTCTGTTGACTATTTTATTATTTGGATAGTTGTTGGAAACCATTTTGACGATCGGCTAAGTGCGGATTAAAAGGATCTTGAGATTTAACGATAAAAAAAATATGAAGAACAAAACAGATAAGTAATCCGATGATTATAATAGAAAGAGAGGTTACAACTATAACTATGAAGAACACTTCGGTGGGAGAGATCCCAACCGAGAGTTTCTCTCTAACAAAACAAATGACTACATTTTAGGTGCACACCTACAACAATGAACATCCCTCTCTATTGATAGAGAGAGATACCTTATAAACAATAAAGGGTAATAAAATAACCTAACTTATCACTCATAATTTGTAGAACATTTCCATGCTCCAACAATCTCTCCTTAAATGCTCGCAAATGATGAGGGATACAAATACAGTGATAAAAGGATAAAATACATAGTAACCAACTAGAAAGTGGGGTGATACAATGATAAATAATGAGAACCAAATGCTGAAATGTCTCTGAAATTCTAAAGTGTTTGTAATGTTTGAAACTGGGCGATGAAATCTCTGTAGTCAAAGTTGTCACACCCCCAAACCAGACGACGGAAACGTCCGAGGGCGGAGGACTTCAATTGTAGTATCACAACACATGCATCATAGTAATCAAAGTACAAACGACCATTGTATTTAAAAGGTATAAGTATTTACATGTGTTCAATCATTGTATATTGAACCAAAATATAGTTATACAAAAGAAGATATGACTCAACATAGCTCCATCTTCTCAAAACGCCCGGGGAGTACCTGTGTATTATTTCCCTGAGAATACAAGTAATTTGAAAAGAGAGTATCAACATAAAGTTGAGTGAGTGCATAAGTGTTTATGTTTGAAAGAGTATCCATGTATCTTGTATATGTAAACTGTTCCAGAAAATCCTATATTTTCTGTTGTATATGAAAAGTAGTTTTATTCTCATAAAACCGTTCTCTTTGTATCAATGTTTTGTATTTGTATATCATTATGAAAACTTGTAACTGAGAGTGTGCCTGGCTCCACCAGCTGTTATTGAAAACTGTATTGAACCATTGTAGTTTGTATTCTGTAAACTGGTACTTTGAAGGTGTACTTTCGTTTAGTTGTTTATACATTAACGTATTGTTAATATCTTTTTAATGAGTTATTATAACCATACTATGACGGATGGCCTGAAACAAACGCTTTGTGGGCGTTTAAACTGTTGATAACAATTGCCACTCATCGACGTGTATGTCTGACTGTAGCTAGCAGCCTGAGTGCGGGGTTGTCAATCCCGATATAGATCTACACACAACTTGTTTCGATCCCCGGGTTGGAGATTCTGGTTATAATGTCAGGGCTTTACCTTTGTTGTCTAAAATGAATTAAACAACCTAAATTGAATGTCTCATAAAAAGCATATAAACGTTACATGTATATTAGTTATGAAAACCCAATCATTCTGAAATAAATGATTGACAGTATGTTCTTGAATTAGTATTCCGAACATGTATGTTCTTGAATCAAAACCTAATCATTCTGAAATAAATGATTGACAGTATGTTCTTGAATTAGTATTCCGAACATGTATTTGATAAGTGTAAACCCTTGATTAGTTCTGAATCAAAACCCTTGTTTCTTGTAAAACAATGTATTCTAGAATACTTGAATCATGAATTATTGTTCTATGTATAAATTATACCTATTATAATTTATATGTACGTTCTGAATCATTATTTAACTATGTTTGCATGTAATCCCTTGCTCAACATGTTACAAAGGTAGTTAAACTGATGAAATAACTTTTATATTTATATACATATACAATTTTATATATAAGTAAAATTTAAACGACACTCGGACAAATAACTGGTACTATAAGCCCACATCCAAACAAGGAAAAGGACCCAGAATGAGTTATCAGT